GCGCTTGGATGTGACATGACTCACTGCCTCAAGTTCCTGCCTTCACTTTCCTACAGTGGTGGATTGTGTATTAGCTACTTTTCTATTGCTGTGACAAAACACCGTGGTTGAGACAACTTATACAAGGAAGAGTTGATTGGGGAATTGCAGTTCCAGAGGAGGAATGGTGAACTGAAAGTGGGGTGAGGCTACAAACCCTCAAAACTGCCCCTAATGATTTATGTCCTCCAGAAAGGCTGTGCCTCCCCATAACCTCCCCAAACAGCACACCAACTGAGGACCAAGTGTTCAAATACTTGGGCTTCTTGGGGGATAGTTCTCATTCAAACCACTACAGACTAGCACCCGGAACTGTAAGCCAAGGAAACCCTTTCTCCCCCAAGTTGCTTTTTTGTCCAGATACTTTGTCACAGCAAGAGAAAAGAAGCTAGGACAGTCAGTGAGTGACTGCTGAAGATCACAAAGAATTCGTCTCTGCTGATAACAAGCTGAAGTCAAAGCTTTTTGTTTAATACTTGAGCCATGCATGGACAGTGTAGCAGTTCTTCCATGCCATGGTATAGTTTTAGAAGTATTTTCATGAAGTGATAGACCCAAGGATGGAGAGGGGGACTAACTGATGCTGTCTTGCTAAATGGTCATGTTGTCAAACTACCCTCTCAATATTTATGTTTATATCCAGAGATCTGAGCTGCTCTCAACTTTTCTCAGAGCAGCCCCTTATTGTGGTGAGTAATGGTTAGTGCAGAGACTCACAACTGTCTTCCCCAGTACTCTGGGAACACGGCAGAAGTGGAAAGAATGTAAGAGGTGGAGGAGGGGGAGGAGTGCTGTGAAAGGCTGTCCTCTGGACATGGCATGACATGGCATGACATGACATGTCATGACATGACTGCTGTACTCATGAACTCACAGCACCTGTGGTTATCTGTGCAAGAGCTGCACAAGATCAAACCAGATAGAAGTTCCAGCATGCAAGGGGGAGGTGCACCAGAATCTCCACCCCTGGCTGAAGAGCTATTGGTAGCTGACATCTGCTGGGGAAGGGAGAGTCACTTTTATTTGGGGAGTGACCACTTGCAGGTTGGCCAGGCACCAGTGGATGACCACATCCATATGCATATATAAAAGCACTAGTTGCACTCAGTGGGTTATGAAAAAAACAAAAAAGACTTGAAGTTCTGAGGGAGATGTGCTGGGAGGTCCTGGGAGGGGTTAGAGGAAGGGAATCGGGAGTGGCTGTGAGCAAGATACATGGTACACATGTATGACATTTTCAAAGAATTTTAAATGATTTATTTATGTGTATATGTGTGTATTTATATATGTACATGTGACTGCAAGTGCCTATGGAGGCCAGAAGAAGGCATTGGATCCCCCCGGAGCTTGAGTTTCAGATAGTTATGAACCACTCCACATGGGTCCTCTGCAAGAGCAACAAGTGCTCTTAATTACTGAACCATCTTTCCAGTCCCCCAAAAATAACTTTTTCAGAAGATAATTTTAAGGCACTAAGAGAAAAGTATTACCATAATGTTAAGCAGCTGTCTTAGTTTGTTCTTCATTGCTATGACAAAACACTCTGACCAGTACCAATTTGGGGAGGAAAGGGTTTATTTGTCTTACATCTCCCAGGTTGCACACAGTTCATCAGTGAGCCCAAGGTAGGAACTCAGGGCAGGAACTTGGAGGCAGGAGCTGGAGCACAGGCCATGGAGGAA